ATATAATGCTATCAACGTTTCCTCTTACAAATTATTTGGTTCTCTATTTCATTGACGAGACTTGAACTGCCATCCACATCTTTTCCACAGGCTTCCGTGCTATCGGTCTAACTAATTGAGCCGATTACTTGAAACACGGTAGCTCAAATGTTTAAACTGCTTTAAAGCATTTGAAAACCGGGGGCTTGGGAAAAAAAAATTTTCCCAGTTTACAGATTTTAAAATTATGTAATGCGTTTGACTCAAACAAGACATTGATCTTCAACATTTTCCTACCAAAAAGACGTTATAGAACTAGTTTTTTCTCCATTGCACAAATGCATGTTATTCTGATTGTCTGAATTTGAATCCTGTAAAATGTTTAGAACTCATCTTTTTATTTAATGCAATCAACTAAACTGTACTGTAGTTTGCGCAGGTGTATACAATCCTAACAAACCCGTTGAAAGTCGTTCAAAAATTGTTTTTATACTGTTTTTCTAACAATGCAATAAGTGAATACAAAATAAAATAGAGTAGAAGGCGTCATACCAAAGCAGTACTTAATTGAATAAAACACTTTAACGGTTTAAAACGCGATTTATAATGTTGTGGTACAAAGGGACTGCTGCTGCAAAGCAATCGAAACGCGTTTTGAACCGTTAAAGTGGTTTATTTAAATGTTTACTACTCGCATGAACTACAGACAGACTACAGAGTAGAACTAGATACAGAGTGTATCGGAGGTTGATAATTCCCAAGCAGCATACAAACGCCCATTAGAATCCAATCCACACATCCCAGTATTAGCTCTAGCTAATAAAGTCTCAAGCTAAACGTGGTAACGCTTCAGTAACGCTCACCAAACGATCCGAACGCCATTGTATATTGTAAGCGCTGGCTAGGTAGTCCAATTAATCAGTCTGTGCGTGCAGTGGCGGCTTGGTAATTAGATTTAAGAACAAGCAGGCGTCAGCCGGAGAATGGCCGGCATTAATTTGAGCTCTCTAACGAGGGCGACCGGCGACCGACTGGGACCTTGCACTTCTAAGGAATCCATGGAGGCGCACTTAGCTCGCATTTTCGTTTTTAATAAGCGTTTCTTCGTGACCACGGCTCCTGCCATGTATCGGAAACGCCGGGCCATAGTTTAAATAATTTCCAAATAAGCTTAATGTATATTAACATCGCGTTTTACACCGTTGGAGTGTTTTATTTGAACGTGTACTACTCGCGTAACATACAGACAGTATTTAATAAGGAGTAATAGAAAGACCTCGCAGTTTTTATTCAAATATGGAAAACTTACAACTAGTACACTAGGCGACAAATTAGATATTATGAAGCCAAGTAGTGATTGTTTTCAAAAAAAATATGCTAATACTAGCTATTATTTAATGATGTTGTAACGTAGGCAAAAGAGACTTGACTCTTATTTTGTAAGACCTGAAGACATCCTCAATCTCTAGTGACCACGACCGCAAAACACGCGAGCGTCAGGTCGTCGTCAATCACAAACTTGATATATTTCAAGTTGTTAAAAATGATTGTATTTAAAATCTTTACATCACTACAGAATTATTATTAATTAAGAAGTATAGTAATTATATAATTAAAAAATCATTCTGGAAACCTATTTCATAACTTTAAAATGATTTTCATGTTTTTTAATGTCTACATACTTAGTCACTTAATTTCTGGTAAAAAAATAATAAAAAGGCTTTTCTTTTTTATATGAGCCACACAACGTAACGTTCGTATGCAAAGTATACTAAATTATAGACCGGTAATATTAATTTTTATTAATAATATCACACAATGATTTCAAATTATCAATATTTTAATAGATTTTAAAGTTTCAACTTATCAACAACGTCAAATTTACAGTCAATAATATTAAATAATATTAAGATTACAGAAGTCTCCATAGGTGTCTCTGTGCCGACGTAGTCCAGCGTAGCATCGGTCTACGCGTCCACTATGCTATGTTTATTGCAATCTGGCGAGTAAATGTTGCTGCTTACCCGCCATAGCCTTTGTTATACCCGATTTTGGACCTTAATATTTATGGCATTTTAATTACGTAGCGTTATTTTCGTGTACATTAGACACGCTAATTTTAAGTCTTGTAATCTTTACAGGCAGACAAAATATCTTAGTATATAAAACATAGCTGCCTATATACAAAATAAATATGAATAAAAAAATAATATCTGTAGTATACGCAAAAAGTACCTACACGTTAAAAAAAATCAATTTGTCGGGTCGTTACCACTGCTCGTACGTATAAGTATGATTGAGCTTTTTTTTATAATACACAGTTTAAATTACACTTTATAATAATAAAAAATAATGTATCTTAACTGCATACAATATCTAGATTTATAAATACTTAATTACTGAATGATTTTTACTTTTAAATAAAACACTTTAACGGTTATAACGCAATATATTAGTTAAACTTTAAAATGTTTTCGACTTCAGCCCGACGTTTCGGATGCTTTGCAGCAGTCGTGGTCACGGGGAAGGGGGGCGGTCATTTATTTAAATGTGTACTACTCGCGTAACTATAGACAATTTGAATTTACTTCTTAAAAATACAAACAAAATTGTTATTTACAAAAGTAAGTTTAATATGATGTCAATTATAGGGATATACTTTAGAATATAATTTAGGTTACACATTTAAATATATATTATTAGTAATTAACCATTTCCCCTGTACCGCGACTACTGGAAATCAACCGAAAAGTAGGACCGTAGTTAATATAAATTAAAAATAAGTTACCTAATCCTCGTCGGGCCGTGTTTAAATGAAATTGAAAAAGTAAATAATATTTTGAGTTTAAAACGGTCAAAAGTGTTTTTAAAACCACCCAATTATCAGTTATTATTATTTTACTTAGCAGAGGGGCCATAAACGAAACTGGACGTTATAATATTATATCGGCCAAATAAAAGCCGTGACTCAAGACTCATGGAATAAAATTAAAATCAATATGGCCGTAATTTCGCAATCTGCTTATCCTCTGGTCAGCGGAAGGGTTGTTGAACTATCTCCCGACCCTCGCAAACAATGCGCCCTCTGTGTGCTCGGACTTAAATAAAAGGTTTGATTTTGTGTTGTAAGGGCCACGTTCAATATTTACTGAGTGGACCTATCTGCATACCTTTATTCGGCTTTGAGGCGAACCGGCCTATTCGAGGAAGTAATTGCTGTTTGCTGTACGGCACGGATCTTCCCGTGCCGTACAGCTGAGGAAAATTTCAAAGTGGAAAATATTACAGTTTACTTGTTTATTACATCAATTCACTTTCTATTACTGTTAGGATTGTTTGTAGTTTACGCGAGTATTACCTACACATTCAAATATAACATTTAACGGTTAAACGTGAAATATATTATATAACTCATTGTCAATTTGTTTACGGCCCAACGAGGGTACTCCCCGTCAATATTCTCGTGATCTTCCGCATTTTAAAAAGTTTAAACTGTTATCTAATAGTTGTATCATTGTTCTATTATATATAGTATATTATAAATATCATATAATCTAAAAAAATATGTTTGCTTTCTATGCATTGTGTAAGTTTATATTATGTACATATACCCTTTTATCAACGATCATGTTGCTCAAGTAGCATTACCTTTGACTTATCTTTAGTTTACTAATAGAACTATCGCAGATCACAAAACAATGTTTATAACTTGTATATTTGTATATTAACATATTATTAACAACAATTGTAAACATTTATACTTATGTCTTTCAGGAAATTACAAGTAGTTTTAGAGAATATCGAAAAAATAAACATATTATTGTTAAATTCTTTAATATTGGTCTAAAGTTATCATTCTATAGCGCCACAATGTGAGATCTAAATTTTCAAGAAACTTTCTTGAAAATTTATTATTATAAAAACTTTTGACGAAATATATTTACTACTCAAACTATACCTTATAATTTAACTTAAAGTTGGGTGTGCGTCTTAGAAACTTCCCTATCACGAACTAATCCTGTTGTGTGCAATTCATGTGAAAATGCCATCTGTCACACTTATACGATGTCCATTGCTTGATTTATAGTGATGGAACACGCGTGAAAACAGTTCATTTTTCGAAAGGAAAATTAAATTTTTAAAAAGAAAAGACACAAATCTTTTAAAAGAATATAATATGGCAAGAAAGTTGAGTTAAATATCTAAAAAATAAATCATTTAGTGTATTTTAGTTTAGGTATTCCCCTTTTGAATTATACAAAGTAGTTTGAATTAATATAATTTGGTAATTGTACCCTGAAAAACATTTATTTATTTTTTTTGTTTAAAGTATTTAAGAGGTCTTTCTTTCTGAAGTTTTACGATATATGTGTCATTCTTTTAATTAGAAATTAATAGTTTTTTTTTAAAGAGAAGTACTTTTTATATATTTCTTTAAGAATTGAAATATTGATAAAACCGAAATCTGGATTTAGTGTAAGTAGATTTGAGACACCAAAGGGAGACCGTGTCAACAATCAGCTGATTTTGTTAGCACTTAGTCCTATCCCGGAGGCACCCTAATAAATATTACCAAAAAGAGATCATCAAGCTAACTCAGTATCATAGAAACTAATCTGTTATGCATTGTATGTTGATTAAACGACATTCATTATTAGTATGTAGTTTGAATTCAGAACTCACTCTCAACTCACTTTAAACACGTTTGACAGCTAAAAGGCAAGAGATTGGGACTTTACAGGTGGGACTTGAACCCACGACCAATAGCAAAATGTACTATTGCTTTACAAATTTTACTTGAGTTCACAACTATCCCACATCGGTCACAATTAGTAAATAGTGTTGGACATTTTAGGAGTACATTGAGATACATTTAGATGACTTTTTCGAAACGGCTGCCCTACAAACACTTTCACTTTGGCTAGTCGAGTCACTTCAGCCAGTTACAGTAACGTGTGACGTCTGCTGCATCGGCTGAAGAGGCAGCCCAGGCGAGTGCCAGTCAGCACGGAGACCGCTAAATGCCGCAAGAGCGGCGTGCGTCCCGCTCGCTCCAGCGAGCCGAGCGCACCTCTCGCTCGCGCCGGCGCGAACACGTGTTTATTTGTATGTTTTATCCTTCAGCGGCTTTAAACCCAACCCACCCCGACCGCAAAGTGCGCTCCGCCGCCCGCCGCGCCCGCGTCGCGTCGCCGCCTCTCGCGCCGGCACCGACTCGCCCGCGAAACTTTGTCCGAAGTCGACGAGCACGGACGTACCGCGTATTAATAGCCACCGCGAGCGGACACCGCAAGCGATACGTCGCGGCCCCACGAGTCTCCTCTCGACCGCGCGCTACGTCGCACGCACCCCGGCTCGGTCTAACCCTATCTAGCGCCGAACGTCTAACGTGAGTTCGAGCGCCCCGAAAATACGCCGCGCCGAAAGTGAGAGCGACGTGCGTGCGTAAATACGGGGCGCAAAAAAGTGCCGCCGTCATTGAAACTAGTGAAAAGTTTTTTCGCCGCGCGGGGGTGCCACCCCTCGTCGCCGGAAAAAATCGGCCCCTCGCGTCCCGCGCCCCCCGAGCCTTTCATTCACCGGGAAAAAAGTGTGGCAAGGCCGTTCCGTGACGTCACCGCATCTAGCCACGCGCGTTTCCTAGCGACGTGTCCTCGCGGTCAGTGTTGTGTCGCGATGAGCGGCTGCGACTCGCGGTCGTGACCGTGGCGACGAGATGTAGCCGGGGCGAAGAAGGTGTTCTCCATGTGCAGTACGCAGCGGGCGCGGGTGTCGAGGATGCACCTGCCGGGTGCCACCACCGGCGCCGTGTCACCGGACACAAGCTCCACGCTGCTCCACGAGACCTACACGAAGATGACATCGGACATATTGGCCGAAAGAACGTTGGGCGACTTCTTGTCGGAGCACCCGGGGGAGCTAGTGAGGACGGGGAGCCCGCATTTCGTGTGCACAGTGTTACCTCCCCACTGGCGGTCTAACAAGACCTTACCCGTAGCGTTTAAGGTGGTGGCACTAGGCGACGTAGGGGACGGCACGCTGGTGACGGTGAGGGCCGGGAACGACGAGAACTGCTGTGCGGAGCTGAGGAATAGCTCCGCAGTGATGAAGAACCAGGTGGCTAAATTCAACGACTTAAGATTCGTCGGGCGGAGCGGTCGCGGTGAGTGCAGAAGGTGCAGTTATTACATGCCAACATTTAAATGAGCTCATTATCTCTATAACTGTGCCTACAAATGCATTAGTCAGTTCACCTTAAGTGTAACATTTATTGTTTAATTAAATTAGTTAACCTACGCGTAGACGCCTCTTCAAAAGTGCATTCAAACAACGTAAAGAAAGTGATTCAAAACAAGAAGCAAATATCAAACTTTCCCCCTCAAAAGACATTGAGGAAAACCAGTGCAAATTAAGCCAAATATGGCATTCCGGTGTTTCGCGAAGTAAGGGAAAAGTCGGTGACATTGCAAAGTTGAAACTTTTTCCCAAGTACTTAAGAAAGTCGGATGAATGTCAAGTAGGGGCCGCCCGCCCTAACCTTCTGCGAACAAGTTTCTTTTACAAATCATTACATTTTACTTCCAAAACTTTTGGATTATTACTTCACCATATAAAGAGAATAATTTATTACATCCAAAAATCTCCTAGAAACCAAGCTACATAAACAAATTCGTAAAGAGAAAATACAATAAAAATATACACAGATAGATAAATTATGTAGTCTTAGTTAGTAATTTATAACCTACCTTTCTATTTTTTTTTATTATCCTTGTAGACATCGGATTTGATTTAAACGCGTAAATAATACTTATAATAAAAAATAATAATAGAAAGTAGAACTAATTTTTTAAATAAAACACTTTAACGGTTTAAAACGCGATATATTAGTTAAACTTATTTGAAAATGATTTCTAACTTCGGCCCGACGTTTCGGATGCTTTGCAGCAGCCGTGGTCACGAGGAGACTAATTTTGTTTAACAGAAATACAACGAATTCGTTTTGACAATATTGCAATAAACATTAACATTATTTTACATTGAAAATCAGTAGAAGATTGTAGAAAAAAATGATTTAACAAAACTTTTATAAATGAACATAGTCTGTGCAATATTTAAGACGGGCAGTACATGTCATAGATAATGTTTCAATACGTATTGAAACATTATCTATGACATGTATTGCCCGTCTTAAATATTGTACAGACTATGTTGCTTGCTGGCAGTTTTTTAAATACAATACGACCTTCATTTCAAATACGTAAATACATTTAATATGGTATTATTAATGTGAAATCTCTGTTCGTTGGTCTTGGCCGCATGGAAGCAATGAAAGATTATTAATCAACGAGTCGTGTGCGACTAACATGATTCTAAACAATTCATATTTTTTAAATGTTAGACCTTCTTCGGAATTCAGAATATTGAATGGGTGGTATGGATTTTAAAACCCCATTTGGATCAAGAACCAGATAGAGGAAAACGTCAAAGTTTAATAGCGTTACGGTTTCAATCAATAGATTTCGGATAAATGTATAATAACAAAATAGGTATAAAATAGGATAGCACATATTGTTATGCTTTATCTTATCATATCACATTTTTTTGAGATGTTTTATGATTAGACTACTTTACATTTATTCAAATGAATCCTATTCTTACGAGTACGTGTCCTATTCGAATCGTAATATAAAATTATACAATGGAACTTCTTGTTTTACGTTTCCAGTTACCCGCAGTGAATATAAAATTTTTAAATACATATTTGTATTATTTGTGAGGCCTAATGTTTTTAATCTAATAATTTTATGATCTATATCTTTCGTTAATCATAACTACGCCCGAAAACTAAGCTTATCCATTCCATTAGTGTGAACTGTGAAAGAATTTGTTCGTAGGTACGAAGATGTTATAACGTACCTGTTTAGTTTTGAAAAGTTGACAAATAATAATTAATATTTTTTAATCAAATATTGTTTATTTTAAATTGAAGCGTACTAACAGGCAGACAGACAAAATTAATTTGATTTTTCTTCTTAATGATGTTTTGTATCTCATATCTCACTCATTTAATGATAATTTATTAAACGGCGTTATAATAAAAATAATAATATGATTTATAGGTGACTAATTTATTTATTAATAAGGCTTACTAACTAGATATACAAATATGTAAGCAACTGAAGCTAATTATAATAAGGATAATTCTTCTGGTCCTTATGTGAACAGTGTGAACTACAGATCTATACATAGAGATACAAACATAATACACACCAAAAGCGAAATGCAAGACACGCAACCAAACAATTCTTAATTAATCGTATAGTCTATAAGACAAATTAATATAATTTTACTAATGTTTGGAGATAAAAAGAGTTAAGCGATATTCTTGCTAAATCTTCTCTACTTTTTCAGTTTTTTATGAACTCGTAAAACAAATTTAATTTAGATTTATTTGCGTCATTGCCCTATCCATCAACTATTTTATTACTATTCATTATCGCAACAAATACAAATACAGTTTGAAGACTTCTATCATTAATTTCCATTGCGAAGTGAGATAAAAGTATTTATAACATTTTTAGACAAAATCTTTCGTTGCATATTAAAATTATCACCGGCGCACTCTCTGCCTTCGATACCTGGGGAAAAAAGGAAGAGGGGTTTCGGTAGGGCAAAATAGATTTAATCGCGTTCACAAAGTGTAAAAATATGGCGCATCAAGTAAAACGATGTATCCGTTTTAAACACGGACACAGTTTCTTTTTGTGTAAGAATCTCGTTTTCAATGCGCAAAACTTCTTAGGGTGTTTGGCTCTTCAACTGTCTTAATTGAGATGTGAGTTAAGTAAATTACGACCATCTGACGTGCTCGAACGATGTAAATTGTGATATGGATGGATGGATAAGAGCATTTTCAGTTAATAACTGCATTTTTACTGATTATACATATTTTAACATAGCTATAATATATTAAAAACGTAGGTGGTGGTATTTCAAATGTGGTCCTTAACTTATCTTATTTTTATCTAACAATATTAACAACAACTTTATAATATTAACAGCATATTAATTAATATTTACTGGCTCTATCAGCAACTTCATCCACGTAAAGTAGTTATTTTGATATTCAAAATTGTTTTTACAAACCTTCTCTTTTTCTTTATAAATATAAGCTGTCACCCACGACGTTGACGTTCCCGTCGTTCTTGCAAGTTAAGCTTTAAAGATAGACATTAAGCTTCGCGAACTTTTTTTAGATCATTTAAAGAAAAACATTCTTACATACATACATTAGGATATATATGAACACATTAATTACATTACATTATAAACAGCCGTTTTTGCAGCGTACGCCTCGGGCCCCTTAAAGATTAATAATGTTCCCCGTGTTTTCGATATTTCCCGCTGTTTCTTTTCTCCTATAAGTCATATCGAAATGTTTTATTGTCTAAAGCCCTTCTCGATACATGCTCTAACCACAACAAAAATAATTGTTCAATTCGAACCCTTTTCGAAGCTTTTATATTAGTTTATCAAACAGTAATATATGGCTAATTAACAAGAGATAACGGCTTCGATAATCAATGCGTTATTAAATAAAATAATTGTATATAAAATTAAATAATTCGTATTTTTAACACTTAGGTCCTCATCAGGAAAACCTGGAAACAAAGTCAGTGTTAAATTGTTGAAATTCTGTTCGGATCACAAACTGCCACATCGTCCGTGAAATGGAAATCCGTGTTTCGATTTAATTTGTGGATTACTGAATATCCCAAGTCAAAATAGGTTGACCAGGGTATCTTGGGTCTCGTTCAGGTGTGTTCCACTTTCACCTGAACCCCACTTCTGTCATAAAAAATACAGAAAGTGTCATTAGTGGGTACTTTCATCGTTTAGTTTGCTTTTTATCTTTTAAAGCCAATTTGTGCGATAATTCTTCACACCATTTGTTATACGAACAGTAGTATCACTTGTGCAATTATATTAAACTTTATTAGTTTGCAGTTAAACATCATTCGATTATAGAAAGCTAGTACATTACTAGTAATACTAGTATAAGTTTGGTCATGTACCTGTGGTAAATCTACATACAACTTAATGTGAACAGATATTTATTTTACATACCCGTCCTCATAGAATTTTGAACCCATTAAAATATTGACGATACCTAACATTTTTGTTACGAAATAAAAATTATGCTTGTTATAAAATTAAGATAACTGACAGCCATCTAAGTCATTTCTTTTAATTACTAGCTACTTACTTAGGTATTTAGTAAAAAAAGCGAAATTGTAAAGGTTCTCAACGTGACTAAAATTCTTTTCGTGACGATTAACAAAACAAAGGGTTTGCTTTACTTTGAGTATTAAATACCACCTAAGAGAATATTTTTTATTTAAATAAAATACTTTAATGGCTTAAAACGCGATATATTAGTTAAACTTATTTGAAAATCATTTTTAACTTCGGCCCGACGTTCCGAAACGTCGGGCCAAAGTTAAAAGTCATTTTAGTTTAACTAATATATCGCGTTGTAAACCGTTAAAGTGTTTTATTTAAATGTGTACTACTCGCGTAAACTATAGACACATTTTTTATAGTCAAAAATAGTTTTGAGGTTAGAATTAATAAATAATTTAGCCCCATACGTTTCAACTGCAGGAATGAGCATACTAATCAGCTTTTTCATTACTAATATAACAGATATGTAAAAAGCAAATAAAGTTTATGAGAGGGTAAATAAAAGAAGTTTCTATACCCAGTACGTATCCAAACAAAGGCAATAACAACTGTTAGTCAAATCCAATGTCGATCGATAGTTTGTTAATGACTAATCGTTTACTTGCTTTTTACATATCCTAAATATATATATAAATAATCTATTTATATTAGACGTTATTAACGTTGTCTAATGATAAATTCGATATGGAACTTTAACGATACTTTCTGAACAAACCAAAATCCATACCTTTCTTTCATGGCTTTATTATAACACATTATTAGTATTACCTAAAACAAAAATATAACGGATTTTTTATATGTAACACATATCTGGTCGCTGTCAGGTACGATTTGGCCATTGTTCTTAATAACGTTTAATGTACCAAAAAAGAGCTTAAAAATACAAGGTGAATTTTACTTTGTGAGATGTCGGCTAGA